GAGAGAGAGAGAGAGAGAGAGAGAGCGAGCGCACGCCAGGGAGTGAGCTTTTATTGGGGAACAAAAAATTCAAGGGAAAATACCCATCCAACTAAGGTCGAGGGGGGCAACATTCCAAGGTCAGGGTCAGTGATTGGTCTTTGGGTCAGTGGCCAGGCACACGTCCACATGGACAAGCCCTGGTACCTGGGACAGGGTGGGGAAGGCTCTGACACAGTTGTCTAAGCGCCTCTCACCCAGCCAGGGAGGTAACTCAAATCACGTGCGAAGATGGCTTCCCACAAAGGACAGAGTAAATTCAGAAAATTGGAAGTTGATTGTTATGGCTGTCATGTATACTGAGCAGTGAGTATAGAGATACAACTCATAAGATAAGTAAACAGTGATTGAGAAACACCTTATCCATCATGGAACAGTGTTTGGGTATTATATTAAAACTGAATGAAGGCCAAAATAAATTTTTTGAGCAGGGAAGTATATGATTTTATTTAGGTGTTAGAAAGATCTTTTTAGAGTATATGGAAGATAGAATAGAAGACAGTAAATCATATGGAAAGATACTATAGTATTCCACACATGAAAACATGAGATTTCAAAGCAAGATGAAGACCATAAGAATGGACAGTAAAAACAATGAGTATGAAAGAATTTCTAGAGATAGGATCTATAGAGCCTGCTTACTTATTGAATTTGTATGAGAAAGATATTTTTGAGATAAGAAAAGCAGTGATTTCTTGCTTTCATGGCTGGTGGGATGTTGATATCAATAAAAAGAGGTTGGGAATAAAAAAGGAGAGACAGATTTAGAGAAGAAAAAACATTTAGCCATATCAAGTTAAGGTTTCCTATGGGTATTCAAGAGCTGGATAATAGACTTAGGGCTGAAGAGATGGGGTTAGGCTGAAGTAATTGTTTTGGGAATCATTAATAGTTTTTAAAAAGTAAGGACTGCTTATACAACCTCATTTGGCAGAAATTCCCTTTAAAATCTACTGTTAAAACACTGTAAGTAACACTTGCCTGGAAAATATACCATGCATATAATTCTTTTTATTATTAACATTAGGAAATATAAAAATTAAAAACATTAACATTTGAAAACATCTTCACAATTATTAACATTAATCTTGTTAAATCAAGAGTGATAACATATTGTTCTCTATATTTTTATACCAGATAACAGAGTGAAGAAAGCAACACAAATAATTACTAAAATTCTACTGTGGATCAGGATAAAATGTCTCCAATATTAACTCACACATTCTAATAAATGCAACAATGAATTTAGATTCTGCTTGGACAAATTGATTCAACAGAAATACCCTGTAAAACTATTTATTCACTATTATGCACAAATTCAAAACTGACAGGTAAAAAAAAGTAGGTTTTTTTTTCCACTTTTATCCTCTTCACTTATAAAATAAAGTCTAATAAAGCATATATCACACAGAAAAGTCTTACATTGTACCTTCTCTAACAGAGGCAAATGAAATATTAACAAATAGTATTTAAAATAAATATACATTTTTATTAATGTATACAAATATATAATAATTAGGAAAGTTAGAGCTATGAACTCTTATGTACAATAACCTCAGATTAAAACATTTTAACGTTGGGTTGTATTTACAAACATCTTTTTTCCTCCATGTGATCATGTAGCACAAGAAGAATTAAAATGGATAGCATCTGTAGATACATAGTTGAGAATATGTGTTCAGTCACTTGGCTCTGTGATAGTCATCTTCTGTACCATGTCAGGCAGATTTTCAGACTCTAGATCTTCTTTGCCATTATCTGAATTTCCTGATGAGATGTAACAACCAGAGTCCCTTGGGCAGTCATCTAACTGTGACTTATTTAAGGAAATGTCTGGGCTTAAAGATAGGGGCACAGATTCATTTTCTTGTTCTTCAATAACTATAAATGAAAAAAAGGGCAGGAATCAGGCAAATCCAAGGAAAGTTTTATTCATGTATTCATTTACTTTAAAGCATTATCCTGTTTAACTGTTCCAAACTTGACTTCATTGCAATGTCAACTTCTACAAGTAAAATATATATATTTGTTTATGATAAAAAGACATTTGCACTCAAATATTCAAACTATTGTTTTCTTAGAAGACAAAGTTTGCCCTTCATTGTTCACTTTCAGTTTTGTGGAATCCATAGGAACTGCTACATAAGCAAAGATCAATATGGACTCACATTTTACATTAGTAATATGTTGCCAGAAGAAGCAGATTGTATCCCCAGTGTGACTGATGCCTTGTCCAAATACCCCTTAAAGTATCGTTAGAAAAAGTCATTTGTAGTTTAAATGAACACTGCAAGTCAATAGTGATCTCTGTGAACAATTCCAGAATCATGATTATGTGGATTAATGAATAAAAATCACTATTAGCAACAGTGTACTGTAGCATTTCAATTAGTTGGATTCGACCAGTAAAACTTCAAGTATCCAGAATTTCCTTGTGTATTCATCAGAAAAGTAGACACCAGTAACCAGGATACTTTTAGAGAGTAAAACACCAAAATTTCCATCAAATCTGCCTTACAAATATTTAGTTTGCCTTCCATGTCTGTGTAGTCTGAGTAAGGATCATAATTTGATATTTCTGAGTCTTTAAACCAATTTTTTAAAAATATTCATCAGGCATTACCTTTTAGAAAAAAAGTTGATGTTAGAAATCTAACAAAATGTATTTCTACGCAATCTAAGCAACCTTATAGAGAAGTAGTCTTTTCAGAGTCCATTAGTATCAGCTTTCTCTCTTTCAATATCAAATGTCATTGCCCTCCCTGATACGAGTAGATGAACATTTTTCCTGCATCACGAGCTGAGTTGTTCAGAGAAGAAATGGGTCTCAGGCTACCATCTCTTAGCTGCATTAGCATGTCCTCCTCTTTCCCCTTACAATCATGGGGCTTTTAAACTTTAGCAATTTAAAGTGCCCCATACTGGAAGAACCATGCCCATACACTCCAAGGTTGGGACAAGAACTCTGCTGTCAAAGGCTTTATTCATTCCACTGCACTTCATCCAACCCAAGAGAGAAGAAAAGTAAATCTGAACTTCAACATCTTAAAGAAAGAAATTGGATTATTTTCTTCAATAGACTAATTGAATAATAAAGCTAATAATGATAAATAATAAGAATAAAAATTACTAAATTATAAATAATAATAAAGCAACTAATTAATCTATTTTTAGGAAACCCACCTTTTATTTTAATTATACATTTCCTGATTTTCAGATGCATTTTCTAAGTTCTAGATACACTTCTAACATTAGTTTATAGTCAACTGTGCATCCAGTTGTCTTTAACCTGTGTTACATGTGACAATTGATCCCTGGTGACCTGAGGTATATAACACATTAACTTTTCTTTGGTGTCAGAATTGTAGTAGCTATGCATCATCCATGGGAGAACTGAGAAAATTGTCACTTAAAATATTTTGTGATTTTTGCACTTTACATGAAGAACACTGGTTAAGAAAGACTGGAAGAAAATGTTAAAAAATTGCTTCTTAGTTTACTCATCATCAAAATGAATTGCAACAGTTCCTTTAACCTTTTCCTCAAGGCTTTTATTTGTAATAGTGAAACCACATTTATGCTATTCTTCTGAATCTTCCCCAGATTCTCCATTACTTTATTTAACTTCGGATTCAAATATCAGTTATGAAATTGACTGATGTTATAATAGTTCTAGGAGACTTAATTTCAATATGCAGCTCTTTGGATTGTTATTTTTAAATTTTAACTACCATGAAGTATTTTTCTGTTTATTAGTCATAACAAGATTTAAGTTTGGGAGGATTTACTTACTATTCGGCAGTTTCTATATGAGTCTCAGTCACTCACTTTTGTTTCTAAGCCCTTCTTTTATGAAAAAGTAGCACTGAAATGTGAACTCATTTTCTAAGGAATTGCTTTTCCTCCTGCCTTTCCATCTTATTGCTACTGAAATGAAATGAGCCAGTTCCGTGTTCCATTATCCAAGTGTTTCTGGAAAATGCCAGAGGAATAAGCCCTTGTGTATGCATCCTATAACTTTAATAGTGATCACCACATTTGGAGTGAGACCCTCTAGTCAAAATGGTCATGAGGATAAGGCCACATTTCCCCAGATTAAGTTTAGGCCTATTACCTCAATGCAAAATTAAAAGAACTGATAGACTTCCCTTCAGATTTATATCCTAAGCAAGACTTCGCATAATTAAACCTGTTTGTTCCCAATACTCTGGGTTTTTTTTTTTGTTTAGGTTGATTACCAATTGTGGAGCTCTCTTTAGGAGGGAAAACTGAGGCTTAAAGAACTTTCATTTCCCAAATTATCTCTTTTCTTTAAAAAAAAAAAAAAAGAGTACTTAGATTGTTGTTCCATCCACTGAAGCCTCTATGCATTTACCTCCAGGGGTAACACAGCACACAACAGTAAATGAAAAACTGACTTTACTGGATAATGTCATTCTTTAATATTAATAATAAAAACATATTTGTTTTTGTTTCCACCTGGGAAATGCTATATCACATTCTTTAAATTCTAGGAATTGGTTTGTTTTAAATACAGGTTATATATTGTATAACCCTTTTATCTATAATTTTTATGGAAAAAGGAAATAGTTTCTCAGTATGAAAGTTATGCAACACAGTAATTTACATAACAGCAGTAATTTGCTAAATGATTTCCTAGTGAAATGAAAACATGACTATGCCTCCTCAAATGCTTCCCACCAGGTTTGCAATAATTTCAGGCAGGTGATCAGCTGGAGCCCCTCAACTGTAACTATAAAAAGAAAAAGCAAGTCATTATGTTTTATTACGGAGATGAAAGCTATATAGCGTCCAGGCTTTGTGTTTGAAGGGTCAAGATTTTCCTTTTTTTTGCTTCTTTTCTTCCTGACACTAATGACAAGATTGGCGCAAACCTAGATCTTAGGCTATGGATATATAAATTTTTTTTTTCCTGCAGATGGGATGAATTCACACTAATGCATTCACATTTTCTTTCTAAGCCATTTAGCCCCTTCATGTGGCCATGAAACATAGTAATGCTAACTGGCCTACCCAGAAATTGAAAACACAACCTTCATCAGTTTTATCCCATGGTCCAATCATCTGAGCTAACCAGGCAAGTAACACATTGGAATAAGAAACAGTTTGCCTCCAAAATTAGACTTCCCATAGGATATCTGAGTGTGTGTGTGTGTGTGTGTGTGTGTATGTGTGTGTGTGTTTTTAATACCAAAATGTTTCTGATAGCATGTTAAGTTAAAAATGTATAATAATGTATTTTGCTCTTATAATATAACAACATATACACATAAATATATAATTTACAAGTGAAAGTTTTCAATTTTTACAGACTTTTTCTTTATTTCTCAGATCTGCAATGTTTTATTTTTAAGTAATAAAAAATTAAAATGTATAAATTTTTCAATTATAGATCAAATGTTTCATAAATGTCCCAAAGACTATATATTTTCAAATATAGAGAATTATGAATAGTTATTGAAAAAAGGCTTTTCTTTTATTGCTGCCATTTAATAGAGATATAGTAGATACTCAGGAAAGCAGCTGTTCTATACTACATGTCATGAAAATAAGCTTATGTTAAGAAAAGATTATTTAGGAAGTATTTCATTACAAAGGATTAATTTGAATTTTAAAATATCTTATTTCCTATCAAAATTATGGAATTTTACAAAGCCCGTGGATCAACATTTAAAGATAGTCATCAATGTTGAAAAAAGTGGCATGGTGATTAAAACAGAAAGACAGCTAGTATAATTATTCATAAAATAATTATATTGGAGTTGTGACATTTAATTAATTAAGTATGGGAAATCTCAATTATACTAAAAGTGAAGAAAGCTTTCAGGAAATAAAACTAGATCCTTATTCTGGGATTCTTGTACTCGAAGGAGAGAAATCTTCCGCATACTCACATATAAGAAAATTAAGGTTAAATAAAAAAGGAAAACTACAGATTTTTGCTTGACTTTCCCAGGTATCTTTACCCAGTTCTTCCAGAATTTGACTTATTTGCCTTAGGCATCAAGTTCCTATTTCTTTGACTCACATACTATAAAATATTGTAGCCCAGAGAGTATAAGAAAATGCTTGGCCAAAGTGTTCATTAAACATTTTTAATAAGCAAAATGATGTTGAGATTTATTAAAGGAAGTAACAACTAAAGAATGTCAAAAAAAAAAAGGAATTTTGTTGAAATTCAAATGAAGATGCACTTGGTTCTATGAATAATCCTCTTTTTCTCTAGCCCTGCAACCCAAAGGGGAGAAACCAGGCAGACATAACTTAGGATGGCTACAAACTTCAGTCTCATGTTTTGGCTCCATTCAAATTTCTCAAACTAAAATCCAGAAATTCTCCAGGTAACTGTAGCTATGCTTTTGTAATGGAGCAGCTTTCTATGCAGGCAGATTACATAGATAATGCAATGTCTCTCGGGTACTTTTGATTTCACCTTAAGCATTCCTTAAATTACCTAGACACTATTATTTGCCAATTGTAGACAATATTTGATGTTTATTTTGTTTGATTACTAATCTACCTTATGGAAAAACAGGAATCCACTCATGGAAAAAACATTAGTCTGTTGTTCTGTTGAGGCCATGAGAGAATATGGAGTTGAAATGATTCCCATTGTTTTTGCAGCCTAGCATCATTGTCTGTCCTCTAATGAGACATGTACTGGAGATAAATCTTTTCACTTACATACAGTGAACTCCACTTCCACTGTGCTAGGTACTTAGTAGGGGCAGAGCATACTCATTGAAGAAGGTGATAACTGTGCACCAAAATTATTGATGGTGCCAGACTGCTGCTCAATCCAACTACAGCCTCCCATAGAAACCTTTGGTCCCAGGAAATATCTACCCTTGGTTGATTTG